TTATGACAAACTCTGAATGCCCCTTCTCTCTTTCTCTCGCTCTCTCTCTCTCCACATCGTAATAACCCTGCAGCGCCTCTCACCTCCCGTCCTCTCTTGCTACCTTAGCCTAGCACAAACTTGTACTTAACCCCCTTCCCCCAATATCCAGATGTGCCGCCCCAAACCCCAACCCTCCCCCACATCCCTCACCTCCGCCGACCCACCACGAGCCCGCCACCACCAGCCTAACACCAAGCCAACCACAACCCCTGCCTAGCGGTCAGCCTTGTGGCTAAATTTCAAGTAAGTTATATTGATATATTCCACTTGTTAGTATTTATATATTCTCTCGAAAAATGTATCTTGACAACTGCTTCCCAATTCAGTTCGTCTTCAGAACTAGCTCGTAAAAAAATCGGAGGATTTCCCAATAGTCCTTAAGATACGTGGAAGTGAGTGACGTCAACGAGTTCTTTAAACCAACCCCCCTCCAAGAAGTTCTTGTTAACACCTCTACCTTGAACCTGACGAACAGATTATTGCAAAGAGTTTCAGAAATCGGAAATGAATTTGAGATGTTCATGGCTTTGTGACTGTTGATGTTGGTTACTTAGCATGACGATATGACAACAGCGGCTCTGTCTGGCCCGCCCACCACAATTTCTGCCCACATCCCACCATCTCAACCCATGACCCACCATCTTAACCCACAACTCATTCTCTCCACTCATAATCCACCTTCTGACCTCCCAATCCACTCCCACCACCTACAACCTACCAGGAGTCTACGTGGAGGGCATTCCGGGGATCAACACCCCCGCTGCCCTGTCCATGACCAGGCCTCCTGGTGGATCAGGGCCTGATCAACGAGGTTGTAACTGCTGGCCGCACGTAGTCCAATGTACGAACCACAGCCCGGTTGATCCGACACTGACTTTAGGTATCTGTCCAGCTTCCTCTTGAAGACAACCAGGGGTCTATTGGTAATTACCCTTATGACTGGTGGGAAGCTGTTGAACCGGTCTTGGGCCCCGAACACTTATTGTGTATTCTTTTGATGTGCTAATGGCGCCCCTACTTTTCACTGGGGGTATGTTGCATCGCCTGCCTGCCTGCCTGGAAGATCCTGGAAGTACCAATCCCTCCAGGATCTTCCAGGTGTAGATGACGATGTATCTCTCTCTCTCGGCCGCGCTCCGGTGAGGATAAGTCAAGTGCTTCCAAGCGTTGCGAGTAGTTAAGGTGCTTGATGGAACTTATATGTGTAGTAAAGGTTCTCTATACATTTTCTAGATCTGCAATTTTACCTGCCTTGAATGGAGATGAATTCCAGCCTAGAGAGAACAAGTGATTTAAAAAGGATCATCATTGGCCTGGTCACAGACCGGGCCGCGGGGGCGTTGACCCCAGGAACTCTCTCCAGGTAAACTCCAGGTAATTGGCTCGGCATCTTTTGACTTGAATGTTCTCATTATCCATCCTATCAGTTTCCTCACAGATATGATAGGGCATTGTTGTGATCCTTGAAGGTGAGATCCTCAGACATTACCATTTTTCCGCTCTAGTGTGTGATTAGAGTTTGTAGTAAACTCAGTTCTAGTTATTATTTCCTCCAGTTTTCCATCTCGTAGTAGTTGGAATTTGTCTTCATTGAACATTATATTGTTCTCCGTTGCCCATTGGGAAACTTGGTTTATGTCTTCATGGAGCTTTGCTGTGTCCTCAATGGATGACACTCTCATGCGGATCCTAGTATTGTCTGCAAAGGATGATTTACATTTCTGTCTATGTCTGATAGGAGGATGAGGAACAGGATAGGGGCGAGTACTGTGCCTTGTGGAACAGAGATCTTCACAATGGCATCTTCCAATTTAACTCTGTTTACCACTACTCTTTTTTCGATTGGTTAGAAAGTTGAAGATCCATCTGCCTACTTTGCCAGTTATCCCTTTAGCACGTATTTTGTGTGCTATTACACCATTATCACACTTGTCAAAGGCTTACGCAAATCTGTGTATACTACATCTGTATTCGGTTTGTTTTCCAGTGAATTCAAAACCATATCAGAGTGGTCCAGTAGTTGCGAGAAGTAGGAGCGACCTACTCTGAACCCATGTTGCCTGGATTGTGCAATTGTTGGGAGTCCAAGTGGTTTGCAATCCTGCTTCTTGGAACTCTTTCAAAGATTTTTATGATGTGGGACGTTAAAGTTACTGGTCTATAGTTCTTAACTATTGGTTTTCTGTTACCTTTATGAAGTGGGGCTATATCCATTGTTTTTAGTGACCGGAATCTCACCTGTGTCTACGCTCTTTCTCTACTGCCCCACTCCACAAAGCGGGCAGTAAAGCAATAGCAAAGAACTACAGACCGATAGCACTAACATCCCATATCATAAAAATCTTTGAAAGGGTCCTAAGAAGAAAGATCGCCACCCATCTAGATACCCATCAATTACACAACCCGGGGCAACATGGGTTTAGAGCAGGTCGCTCCTGTCTGTCTCAGTTACTGGATCACTACGACAAGGTCCTAGATGCACTAGAGGACAAAAAGAATGCAGATGTAATATATGCATAATTTGAAAAAGCCTTCGACAAGTGTGACCATGGCGTAATAGCGCACAAAATGCGTGCTAAAGGAATAACAGAAAAAGTTGGTAGATGGATCTACAATTTCCTCACAAACAGAACACAAAGAATAGTAGTCAACAGAGTAAAGTCTGAGGCGGCTACGGTGAAAAGCTCTGTTCCACAAGGCACAGTACTCGCTCCCATCTTGTTCCTCATCCTCATATCTGACACAGACAAGGATGCCAGCCACAGCACCGTGTCTTCCTTTGCAGAAGACACCCGAATCTGCATGACAGTGTCTTCCATTGCAGACACTGCAAGGCTCCAGGCGGACATCAACCAAATCTTTCAGTGAGCTGCAGAAAACAATATGAAGTTCAATGATGAGAAATTTCAATTACTCCGATACGGTAAACATGAGGAAATTAAAACTTCATCAGAGTACAAAACAAATTCTTTCCACAAAATAGAGCGAAAAACCAACGTCAAAGACCTGGGAGTGATCATGTCGGAGGATCTCACCTTCAAGGACCATAACATTGTATCAATTGCATCTGCTAGAAAAATGACAGGATGGATGATGATAACCTTCAAAACTAGGGATGCCAAGCCCATGATGACACTCTTCAGGTCGCTTGTTCTGTGTAGGCTGGAATATTGCTGCACACTAACAGCACCTTTCAAGGCAGGTGAAATTGCTGGCCTAGAAAATGTACAGAGAATCTTCACGGCGCGCATAACGGAGATAAAACACCTCAATTACTGGGAGCGCTTGAAGTTCCTGAACCTGTACTTCCTGGGATGCAGGCGGGAGAGATACACGATTATATACAACTGGAAAATCCTAGAGGGATTAGTACCGAACTTGCACACGAAAATCACTCACAACGATAGCAAAAGACTCGGCAGACAATGCAACATCCCCCCAATGAAAAGCAGGGGTGTCACTAGCACGTTAGGAGACAATACAATAAGTGTCAGGGATCCGAGACTGTTCAACTGCCTCCCAGCATACCTAAGGAGGATTACCAATAGACCCCTGACTGTCAAGCAGGCACTGGACAAGCACCTAAAGTCGGTACCTGACCCGCCGGGCTGTGGCTCATACGCTGGATTGCGTGCAGCCAGCAGTAACAGCCTGGTTGATCAGGCTCTGATCCACCAGGAGGCCTGGTCACAGACCGGGCCGCGGGGGTGTTGACCCCCGGAACTCTCTCCAGGTAAACAGTATACTTAGGGCCCATGAGAGGGGTTTCTTGTCGAGTGCATGGACATGTTGTCAATGGCTTTCTCAAAGTCTAGTGGAGTCAGGGTTATGTCAGAAATTTGATATACATTGACAGCGTTTTGAGGTTCTTTCATGAAAAATTATTTGGATTGTCCATCTTTAGACTGATTTGTGGCTAGCTGAGCACAGAGTCATAGTGAGATTTCATTATCTCACTCATTTCCTTGTTGTCATCTTTGTAGCATCCGTCTTGTCTGAGCAGGGACATTATATTAGATATGGTTTTTGCCTTGTTTTTGGCATATTAAAAGAAATATTTTGAATTTGTTTCAATTTCACTAATCGCTTTCAGCTCCTCTTGTCTCTCCTGGATCCTGTACTAGTCCTTTAACTTAAGCTCAATATTTTCCAATTCCCTGGTTAGTACTTCTGTGTTTCAGCTAATTTAGTATTCTTGAGGAGCTCAGTGATTCTTCACCTTCTCTGGTAGAGGGAGCATCTCTCTCTCTCCAGTTTACTTCTTCTCTTCTGTTTTCTTAAGGGAATATGCCTTGAACAAACTTTAGATACTAGAAAGTTGATCTTTTCAAGGCACTGGTTAGGGTCCATGTTATTTAAGATATCTTCCCAACATGTTTCATTTAGGACATAGTTTACCTGGTCCCAGTTGATGTTCTTGTTGTTGAAGATGAATTTGGTGAAGGTACCCTCGTAGCTGTATGCATTTTCCTGATCAGGACCCTTGTGCTTGTAGGTCTAGACTTTGATTAGATTGTAATATTGTTAAGTTTCTTACCAGGTCCTCATTATTTGTGAAAATAAGGTCAGGTGTGTTCTCCAGTCTTGTCGGCTTCACTATCTGCTGACTTAGGGTGTGTTTATTGCAGAAATTCAGGAGCTTATGAGTGTGTATCTTTTCATCTGAACTGCCTCCACTGATTATTTCTGCTACAACATTATTTGCTACATTCTTCCAATTTGTATGTCTTAGATTGAAATCACCAAGCAGCAAGATGTCTGGGGATGGGGCCGGAAGGTTTTTCAGACAGTAGTCAATTTTCGATAGCTGGGAAGTTGTATCTGGTGGCTTATATACAAGCACAATGACTGAGTTCTGGTTCTTGATTTTTATTGTTAGAGCTTCATCTACATCATTTGTGGTGTTCAATATCTACGTGCAAATGAGCGACTCTAAGATACAGACCAATCACCTTTCCCTAGGTTGCCTGTTCTTTCTGTCGCATCTGAAAAAGGTTGTACCCAAGTAGCCACATTTCACTGTCAAAGTTATCTTTTGCGTGGGTCTCTTTGAAAACTGCAAACACTGCATTTGATTCCCCTAGAAGTCCACTGATGAAAGGTATTTGCTGTTGGTGAATGGCTTAAGGCCCTATATATTAGCAAATATTAATGAGGTAGTGTTGCATGTTTGTTGGGGATTTTGGTGTTAGCATCAGTAGTCGTGAGTCTGGAGGGGCTACTGGCTGTGCCTTCAGTCCAACATGGCTCCAAGGTAGTGAACTATTTTGGTTATTTTTTTTTTCTTCCTTTCCTACCACTAAAAAATTACTTGGAAAGGAGTTGTCGTAACTACTGTAACTACTATGATTTGCTTTACAGGGTGTGTACCTCCTGATCCCATATAAATGGTATGCGGGGCAGCATTTTTTTCGAGGACTGAAGAGTGGCACATCTCAGGGTGGAAAAATTTGCAAGAGGTAGAACGACACAGGAGGTCGCGGTATTTCTTGGAATGCTTAAAGTTGCATGTCCCATTTGTTTTTCCTGATATTCCATGCTTACAGATGCCCCAGACATAGAATTTGCACCATTTTGCTTTTTATTGGATACATTTCGTACTGGATGTATTCCCAATTTGTGCAGTTCCTAGAACTGCACTGCAGTCTTTGAGAACCAAGCCAGAGACACCACCATCTGTTTTCAGAAGGCCAACATTTTCCCCGGAAGAGAACTTCTCTACGACATCTGTAATAAGGGCTATAGTAGTGGTGGCTGTGGAAGAGTCTTTAGCCGAATCTGGATTTGCACTATGGCTTGGGGCTGATTCTGGGTCAGAACTAGGACTGAGGGGCTGAGCTAGCTGATTTTTTGGTTTCCTGTGTTTTTTTCCAGCGGGTGACTATTTCTGGGTCAACTGTTGCAGACTGGGCATTCTGAATGTTTTAAACTTTACTCCTCTCCCATCTTCCCATGTTCTAAATATTCTGGGCAGACTATCCAATTGTTCCTCTTTGTTTTCATGCTTATTATTTATTAACCTCTTGAGTACTTTCCTGATATCTGTCCATAGTTCCACATCCTTATTGCAGATCTAGAAACACATTTCTAGATGGATGTTGATTTTAGATGCATTGTTTATTCTTGCACAGGAGACATGATGTTTTGTAAAACAAAGGCTGCATGTGATTCTGGATTTTTTCCCAAGAGCCTTTTCACATATCCCACAGATAGTTTGTACTGCCATTTTGCCTGTATCCTACTTGCAAGCTGGGAACCACAAGACTCTGATTTTCATTTTACCTTTCTGCTCTGCACTCAGGTTGTGGGGTGTTGGAGGGTCAATGCATGGGTATGTGGGATGTATTTAATTAATATGGAGATTTACTGTACATTAAAGTAATTTTTGGTGTATATTTCCGGAGCACCCCACATACACAAGTCAGGTGCATGCTTTCTTGCTACGGTTGGGATATTGTATTGTCGGGTATATGGTGTTATCATGGTGGTGTATGGTAGGCCTGTGTGGTTGCCTGGTAGCCCTACCAGACGTATGGTTGTAGCACACCACCCCAAGGTACATGGCACTACTCACATGCGATGCCATAGTTTAGCTTAAAACACTTCCATTATGTTTAATGACTATCCTTGAGTCGTTCCACTGACAATTTAGATTCACTAGGTCTTTCCACTATGTGTCGGTGTCCTGGTCTTTTCATTATAAGTGGTAACTTAAACCTTTGTGTGTACACTCGTCACATGTCAACACCAGAACGGATAGATTGTCCCACACTGCCACACTTCACTATTTTTTCTTTTATTTTGTCACTCTGCTGTACATTGGTTATCACAAAGGATATACACTATATTTATTCAAGATACACTTTTCTTTTCACTGCACTAAACTAGGATCGTTGTTTTATTACTCTCATGGCAGCTAGGCCTATGGTAATTTTCCCCTTACACTTCCATTTAAATTTATTTCACGTTGATTTCTCAGTGTTTTTTGTGATACATATGTATTATTCGAGCTAGTTTACTCCCTTCACTACGGTTACCCTTAATGGTAGTCCAAGTTTTACCAAGCTCACTCAGCAATAATACAATTTACTTCTTCCCTCGAGTGGCAACACTTCCTGTTTCCCAACAACACTGGGCTTAGTCTCGGTCCATGGCACTCCCAATATTTCAGTTTCCACTTAAAGAATGCATGGATCACGTATGTGTTGATCACAGTCGACAGATTAGCCATTCACGGCATTAATGTTTCTTTTCCACCGATTTTCCGCTTATAGGCATCATCACTAACGTGTAAGGAAACTGTGTCCACGCACACACGTGTGTGCACGTACCACCTAGAACCCTACAGACTATTCTATCCCCTTCACAACTTTATCCTTGCCACAAACAACTCTCCCATTCAACCGACCACACAGCCTCGCAGTCTACAACACACCCTAGCCACCCACAACCCATCCTTGCCACCCAAAACTCATCCTATAATGATATCTTAGTATATTTCATTGTCACTGCATTGTAAAGGCCATCCTCAGAAATGCTAATTGCCAATTAATAATAACTTTAGCTCTGCTGGTCGAAACCACCTGAAGTCTCTACACGCTTCTCAACCCAAAATGGACATGATATCATTGCTATACTACTAGTACTACTACTACTACTACTTATAATAATAATAATAATAATAATAATAATAATAATAATAATAATAATAATAATAATAATAATAGTAATAATAATAATAATAATAATAATAATAATAATAATAATAATTAAATAAATAAAATTATTCTAAGGGCATATGGAGTAGATATTTTAAACATACAATAATCACACTATGTAGATTTAACCCAGGATAATGCAGTACAGTTGGCTAATTGGGTTTAAGTCCATCAAATGAATAAAGGATAATTCAAGCTTTATGTAATCGGTTCACCATTAGTCAAGGTTATTTTAATCCATTAGATAAGAATTATAGTAAACTCTACGTGTTATTCTTATTGAAATATATACCCTTCCAACTGCGTATGCAACATTTCTGTCAGTGCAAACTTGCTAAGCAAACGTCCCTTGGAACGAATCTACTGAGATTTCTTACTCATTTCTCCTACTTCGCAAGTTCTTGATAATGTGTTGATTGCAACACGAGAGGCCAAGTGCTGTTATTGAACTCGCAAGTTTTACCTATTAGGCATGACATATATATATATATATATATATATATATATATATATATATATATATATATATATATATATATATATATATAATATATATATATATATATATATAATATATATATATATATATGTATATATATATATATATATATGTATATATATATATATATGTCATGCCGAATAGGTGAAACTTGCGATTTTGGCTTAAATAGTAACGCTCTCCTTGCCGGATAAGGCAAGCGAAAATTTATGCATCCAATAACTTCGCGAAAATCATTTTGAACCTAACGAAAAAATATATTTCATTATTTTTGTTTATTATTAAATTATTGTAGACTTATCTAAAGTATATTTAACTGCATTAGGTTAAATTAAATTGCGCTTGTTATAATAAGATTAGGTAGGTTTTCTAAGGTTCTTTTGGTACAAAATATTAATTTTTATATTAACATAAATGAAAAATATATATATATACTTCTTGGTCGTTTCTTGTGAGCTCCCACCTTCCTTTGTCAACCTGATTACCTGGTCCTTGACTGTTGTTTTCCTCCTGATGTTGCATCGGGTCAGACCTGACTTTCCATGCTACGTCGTTTCCTTACTGTCCCTGGGCCTCCCTCCTTATCTGTGCATAATTGTTTCTGGCTCTTCGACTAATCTCTTTACTTTCCTGGGTCGTTTGTGTTCTGTTTTTTTCCATTCTCTATCGTTCTTAGTTTTTGCCTCCCTACACCTCTGGATGAACTAAGTGCTCGTTCTGTGTACTCACCTAGTTACTCACATAGTTGAGGTTGGAGGGGTCGAGTCCAAGCTCCTGGCCCCGCCTCTTCACTGGTCGCTACTAGGTCACTCCCTGAACCATGAGCTTTATCGTACCTCTGCTTAAAGCTATGTATGGATCCTGCCTCCACTACATCGCTTCCTAAACTATTCCACTTCCTGACTACTCTGTGGCTGAAGAAATACTTCCTAATATTCCTGTGATTCATCTGTGTCTTCAGCTTCCAACTGTGTCCCCGTGTTGCTGTGTCCAGTCTCTGGAACATCCTGTCTTTGTCCACCTTGTTAATTCCTCTCAGTATTTTGTAAGTCGTTATCATGTCCCCCCCTATCTCTCCTGTCCTCTATTGTCGTCAGGTTGATTTCCCTTAACCTCTCCTCGTAGGACATACTTCTTAGCTCTGGGACTAGTCTTGTTGCAAACCTTTGCACTTTCTCTAGTTTCTTTACATGCTTGGCTAGGTGTGGATTCCAAACTGGTGCCGCATACTCCAATATGGGCCTAACGTACACGGTGTACAGGGTCCTGAACGATTCCTTATTAAGATGTTGGAATGCTGTTCTGAGGTTTGCCAGGTGCCCATATGCTGCAGCAGTTATTTGGTTAATGTGCGCTTCAGGAGATGTGCCTGGTGTTATAATCACCCCAAGATCTTTTTCCTTGAGTGAGGTTTGTAGTCTCTGCCCCCCCTAGACTGTACTCCGTCTGCGGTCTTCTTTGCCCTTCCCCAATGTTCATGACTTTGCACTTGGTGGGATTGAACTCCAGGAGCCAATTGCTGGACCAGGTCTGCAGCCTGTCCAGATCCCTTTGTAGTTCTGCCTGGTCATCGATCGAATGAATTCTTCTTATCAACTTCACGTCATCTGCAAACAGGGACACCTCTGAGTTTATTCCTTCCGTCATGTCGTGTGTGTGTGTGTGTGTGTTTGTGTGTGTGTGTGTGTGTGTGTGTGTGTGTGTGTGTGTGTGTGTGTGTGTGTGTACTTACCTAGTTGAGGTTGCGGGGGTCGAGTCCGAGCTCCTGGCCCCGCCTCTTCACTGATCGCTACTAGGTCACTCTCCCTGAGCCGTGAGCTTTATCATACCTCTGCTTAAAGCTATGTATGGATCCTGCCTCCACTACATCGCTTCCCAAACTATTCCACTT